GCTACAGGACGTCATGGCCTCTGCACTATGCCGGTAGCCCCCTTAGTGCTTTTTTTGTTAGCAAAGCGTATTTTGCTATAAAGTTATGACTACATTTATCTTTACTTAGGCCTTAGTGCTGTGTATTATAAACCCCTCTGTTGTATAAATTCGCCCAGTTCCACCTCATATTATTTCCTGTGAGGCAGTTAGAACACCAGCGATAAACCAATTGCCTTTTGTAGATCTGGTAAACACATTTAAAGCTACTTTTTTTGTTCGGTTAAGAAATGTTTATTTGTTTTGATTAATCAGTCGTTATTTACACTTAGGTTGTTCGCATTATTGGTTTTCGTATGGCATCATTTTCAGTCGGGGATGTGCGTCCTGCTAGTGAGCATGACGTTAAAGTTTTTAGAAATTTGATGGATGATGATTCCCAATGGCGCAAAGTTTTTTCGAAAAAAGGTACTGTTGTATCCATGAAAAGATCGGATAGCTCTTCGATTCACATGGTCAAGGTATTTATCCGTTTGCTTAGTTTTTCTTGAGGTTAAAACTAATGTAAATGGGCTATCAGCGGCGGACCTTTATGATACCTTGATGGATCCTGATTATCGCAGAGCATGGGATAAGTATATGGTAGAAGGTTATGATCTTTGCCTTGTCAGCCCAAATACAGACATCGGTTACTATCTCGGTAATCTATGATGTTTATTTACTTGTGTTTGTAGTTAAGTCTTTCCCACCATTTAAACACAGAGATTCGGTGACTCTTCGGTCCTGGTTCCAATTCGAAAATGAATATGTTATAATGAATCATTCTGTGTTCCATGCGGTATGCCATTGTCCTAGAAAACTTGATGGTTAAGCAACTTTATCTGTGAGAATTTTACCAAGGCCTGGCTTTTGAGATCACAACTTGAAAAAAAGTCATCTGAGAAATTATTTTCTTTCTACATTGCCATTTTAACTGGATATCTGTTATTATGTGCCATTAATTTTCAATAAATATCCCTATGTTCGGTTCTATTTATTGACTACTACGGTACTTTTTCCAATAAATAGGCAGCACCCCCTAGGAAGGAATACGTCAGAGCAATATCCTATTTAAGTGGATACATCGTCCGAAAGTCCGGACCGGATTCGTGCTTCTTCGGATTCGTAACTCAGTCAGATCCAAGAGGTAAGCTAATTTTCATAAATTGTCCATTTCGGATATTTTAGTAAAGTACGTAAGTGCTCGTGGGTAATTTTTTCGGACAAGATTAAGTGCCAAATTCTACTTTTTTGGGTCTAAGCTGAGTTATGTTTACTTTCGGTGATAAAATCATATCCTTTCTACTCCAGTCCAACTTCATATTTGGATTAGGCAAAATACGAATACAATTAACACTTATTCAGACTCATATACCCCATAATAATGGTAATATCTACAATGTTGCCATTTTTAAAATTGTTAGTTTGATGAAAACTTTCTAGTAAAATGACTTAATTTTAGGACTAAGTGTGGATGTAAAGGGTCAGTCAATTTTATTAAACTCAATAGCCTTTTTACGAGCGTGGTTTTTACCATGGCCATTTAACATATAATGTTTAACATTGGCAGTGCATCAGACGCAAGGGACATTTTATTTGTAATTTAATTAAAAGTAGATGGGAGGGTTATAATATTCGTATTGATCTAGGCTGTGAGTAGAGAGATTGTCATGGGATTCGTTCTCTTAGAAAACAGCCTCTTTGCCACTTATCCCTGCATGTGTGACCTTTTACTAAGTCAATGCACACATACACGGACTTTTTGAATGAATGGAGATAAGAATGCAGTGTTTTGGCATCGGTGTGGCATTAATGGAACAAGAGATACTATGGTAACAAATACCTCTTGGCGACAGATATCTTTCCACAAAATCATATGTAATTTGATAAAGTTATACCAAAAACATAATTGAACATTGACTTCTGCTATTATGGAGCATAGTATTTTAAAGGGGCTTTGGAATAATTATACCCCTTGGAATTTCCTGTTTTTAGACGGCTGCTGGATCTTTTTATTGAATGTCCTATTTGATTTGAAGAAGTGTGTTACACAAATTACCTAGTACCGAATCTTGTCGAGTGTCAAGTGCAGGACCTAAGGCGAGGGATTGCTTTTAAATCCAGATACTGCAATCAATTTAGTAAATCGTGTAAGCTAAATAACACCAAATCAACCATTTAGCGTTACATTTAAAGCCGCACACCGTACTATTTAGATGGGTGAACAAGGTGCATGCTAAAGTACGGGCCGGTATTTGTAAATAATGTGGAATCGCTTTAGTCTATAAGGCAAGTATTTTTCATTCCTCTAAAACTATTCTCTTATAAATTTCTTAACTGGCTGTTCGGTGGAGTAGATCGTGTTTGTCACCCTCTTAGGATACTTGAAAAAATTGATGCAATTTTTCTCTTCTTGTCATTAAGTGCACCTGAACAAATCCACACATCCTTACCTACCAACGCAACTCCATATCACATGTTTCGATGCTTCACTGTGCAGACATTACCATCAACCATTTAAGTTGTGATCTTAATAGGATGTTGAATGAATAAGGTGGGCAGTATGACATGTTTTGATGCTGAACGCTTTTGAATCAAAATCCGCAAGTACAAATTTCTGATGTCTCTTTTTTTAAGAGGTTCACGTTTAGCATGAAAAAATTGCAGAGATGTGATGAAATCTGTAAGACATGGCAATTTAACTTGATGGTAGTGTCGTGCTTGCCATCGTAACTCTTTGTAGTGTGCAAACTATGGGGTGCAAGGTTAATTCTCATTGGGAGAGTGGCATGACTATTGGCTGTTAAGGCTTGGTTTCTGGAAAGTTTAGTATGTGAGACCGCTGTGGAACCGGTAATGACCGAGTTCATCCATAATCACATCGAGTCAAAAGGGGAACTATCGAAAATGCGAATAACCTATTTTCTGGAGCGTGGCTTTATTATTTCATAAAAATAAGACAGGAGTTGCTCAAATTTTTATCAATCGCACAATTTCTTTACTGTACTAATGCTATGCTATTTAGAACGGATCGCATAATGCACTTCATAACGGGAGGTGTTGAAAGTATCCGGCTAAGAAAAGTTTTAGTGACTTTTTTCATCTAGGATAATGTATTAATTTTATTTCCCTTGGTTTTATTGACATAGCCTACAGTATATGGATCTTAATTTCGCAGTAATTGACAGCCTATTCCTAGAATCCATTTAAGATATGGACTATTGTAGTTTTCTTGCCTATTGCAGTGGAAGACCACATTAACTTCGGCCCATGGCTTGATTAAAACGCCGACATAAGAACGGCCCTTTGAGTAATGAAGTTTTTTGCAGGGGCTCCTGCGTGCCTGAGGTGGAATTCACGAATGACAATTTATTTACTTGCCTCAACAAACACACAGGACAGCGGCAGTACGATTACAAATGTCTCCCCTTCAAATTGCCTTCTGAACAGCCATAAAGCTAGCAAGGGGGTTAAAACTTGCAGCTACACTCACGTGATACCTCAAGAAACGAAAAAAGGGTGACTGGTTAAGTTTTTACCCACGTTCTTACAGCAGACTACACAAAAACCGTCGTTATGGGAGGGTTGAATTTAACCTTTGCTAGCACGGGTAATTTAGCACCAACTTAGTAAGGTGCAAACCGCAAATCGGGCCAACAGATGTGGTCTCAAGGTTCTCACTTAGGTCTTTGGCCGCTACAGGTAGTGCGCCAGAGGTTTGTGTATCCGTAAGTGACTGGTCAGAAGATGACCATTTTTAAGGTACGTATATATTGCATTCTCTGCCACAAGCATCCAGCAGAGTGATTGAATGGGGGGTTGTTAAAAATGCACAAAGGCACGTAATGCGTACTTATCTCCAGCGCTTGCGCTAGTGTCTCGACGTTTAGTCCATTGTTTTATTCATACCCATCAAAGCCGATCTCATGAAGCACAAGTTCAGCTGCAGAATATGGCTAGTGTTGGGATATAGGCGAAGAATGTTTACTGTTAAAAATAACTTATTTTGGCAATATGAACTTTTGTGCTCCCTAACCTAATTTTGGTTGACTTCCCAAGTTGCAGAGGTGAGACAATGACATGAGACGACAGCATGTGTACGATCAAAGTAAAATCGAGCATCACGATAGATGGATCAAGTATCGGAGTCCTTGAGACGGCAATCATAATTCATAGCTAGACTGGCATTGGCAGAATCATTGTTTTGGAAGAATACATTAACAATTCCTTATCGTGATTTTAAACTTTCTTGCTCTACTATGAACGCTTCAATTTGAAAGATTGCACCTGCATTTAACCACGCAAAAAGTTTAGATACTGTAGTTTTGAATGGAAATTAACACATCTCTATAAAAGAATGATGTTACTAGCATAGTAAATTGAAGTTAATTTCAGGTATTTTGAAGACCGCCACGTAATTTTTTTGTGAAAGGATGAATTGGTGGCGTCATTGCAGTAAAATTAGTGCCCCAATACTAAATCCTCCCGCTGGAAATGCGACCATAACATTCATTCCAAGTGTTGCTGTGTCGCTTCGTCCCTGACATGAAGTCAATTGCGAAGCTTTCACCGGCTGAAGACTGGTGAGTGACCTCAGGGCTACGGAGCGCATTTCTCTGATGCCAGCATCATGTGACGATGGAATGAGATACAGTTTTTGGGCCTGGGTCACTACTTAAACCACCTTTGTACTCATTTCAATCAGCAGTTTAACGATATCAGAGGAGTGGAGATGATCACTTTTTATATTGGTGGGCAAGGTGTGAATAAGTTTACCCAGATGGCTAGTAAGGTACGGTTAAGCTGTCAAGTGAAAACGTAGACATGCGCAAAGCACCTACATAAATTGCCTTGGTAAGTTTCAGGTTTCGGTTTGTGCCCCCCGCCTTGGGACCTTTGCTACTACGTAACAACCTAATTATAGTGGTTTTTGTAATGTGCTTGAAATTTTTACAGGTTTGACTCAGGCACCAAGGCCCGATGGCAGCTAAATCGTAACACTGAAATATGTGAATGAATTAAGCATGAATGCATGACTGGGCGGTGTGAGTCGAGACAAACTACATCCGTGTTCTCTATGTTTAACCTCTCAAGAGAATTGGCCAGCATGAGAAATAGGTAGTGGGTGCACGTTTACCAATGCGCATGTATTTTTTTTTCGGGAAAATACTGAAGGAATCTCCGCCAGATAGCCATTTTTGGAGTTTTTGGCTCTTTTTTGCGGTGCGATACGTGGAGATGTCATTTTCCACCGATCATTACCGAGTATCACATGCAGAGGCGAATGACAAGAGTGTACACGCTCCGCTTTTTGCAATTCTGCATTCTTGTGGCAGGATAAAGCCAGTGGATTGGTCGCTTTTAATAATTACCTTATTGGTTCTCAATCTCAAAACAAATCACTTACGTTGGTACATGACATCTCACATCTCTGTTCCACGTATTTCATTTCAATACCCGAAAACACTGAAGAGTAAGCACATAAAAGAGTGAGGACTTTTTTAGTGTTGAGATCTCAGCAAACGAAGAAGTTTCCGTTAATTCACAAAATAAGACCTTGTCCATCCATCATGCAGCAATGCCGTGAGAGTGATTTTAACAATAATTTTAAGGTAATTAACATGACCCACTTTATCCACCCATTACCAATATGAAAAATATTCACGCGTATTGGGTGAGCGCTTTGTATCCAGAAGCTGGCACTTCACAAGATTAAACCATAAACTCAGTGTATTATGAAAACACTAGCAATAAATTTTCCAACGGCAAAATCCAGCCGTAGTGAGGATAGACTAGGAAGTGGAGCCACGAAAGCAGCCAATCTTAGCCTAATGAAACAATTGGGACAAAGAGATGACATTTGCAATTCTTTCCCAAGGTAAATTCCCCTCCTGGGCTGTAAACCGGATAGCGCAAATCATTGCTCCAAAGACGGTGTCTGTGCTGATAAAGGCGGCGCGAGCCTACCCAGAGTGGAAGGCGCAGAACTCGCCGACAGTGAAGCCATGGATTTTTCCAGAACAGAACAAGCTGGAGCCACTGAACGCATCAGACGTGCTCTCCTTGCCAGACGTGAATATCGCAGCGGTAGACGAGGATGAGCAGCGCCAGGTTACCGATGAGGCGCCCCCCCTCGCCGACCTCGGGGACTCCACCTCTAGCCTCGGTGATTTCGAGGATGATGCGGACGAAAAAGTCATCAAGGAGGAGGCCATTGTGCCCCAGAGCGCCCCCGGGCCCGTCCAGCAATCAGTCACCATTGGCTGAACTGATGAACGCTCTCTTCCGGCATCCATGTGGCTTGTATTATAGACACACCCACCTTTGATAGGTCCGCTTAAAACGCTTGAATTTTTTAGTAAGAATAAAGTGCCTTTATACAGACATATCCGTACTTCTTCATTGTATCATTTAGGGTCCGTTCATCCGTCAGACACAATTTAACCTATCAGTGGCAAGGAATTTCATAAAAGGCATCTCTTCGCAGGATGCCGTGGCATCGGTACCAATATTTCATAGTTGGAATGAACTTCGAAAGGATATGCAGACTTCTTTGCGAGCAAGAAAGTCCTAGAACCAACAAAATTGTGAATATACTAGTAAACGATTTGGAAGGTGTTTAGTCGGTTACTGTGTGGGCCTCTGCCCCGCAAAGGTAACACAACCTGGACACATTAGATGACTTTCCGGGAAAACTGCAGTAAACCCATTTCGCGAGACTACTAGTGGTTCTACTACATAGACAGTGAAATCTGGACTCTTGAATAAGACTACCGGTGTGCCGGTAAGCACAAACTTACTCTTATTAGAAAGTGCTCAAACTTTTAGCCAAGATTTGAAATTGACACCACTTGAAGAGGGTAGACAGTTATCAATGCGAATAAGCAGAAACGTAAACGTGGAACCGTGCATCTGCTGCTAGCATGAATGGAGGATGTGACAGCAAAGCCATTTTATTGGGCCTTCTTAGCACTCAAGATTTTTAACATTAGCTAAACCCGATCTACTGAATTTCGGTTTAAACGATGTTTTCGCTTAACTGACCCGTTGTGATGTATTTGCAAAGCTCACTGGACTGCCTGTCAGTTGCTTACAAGCTTATAGGAGGAAGTGTGGAGAAAAAAAGTAAACCGGTATTACACAAACTCATGCGTAGTCAATAAACAATGAGGTATCTCAGTGTACTCTCTTAACTTGCTCTGAGATATTATAACCAGAATGGTAGGGCAAACGCAAGCGTTACACCCTGTCCAGAGTCATCAAATCGTAGTTTCGAGAGCTTACGTCGCTTTTATCCAAGGATTGAGAAAACGGCAAAACCTTCGCAATCATCGTTGCATTGTCTTAGAAAAGCTACGTCCTTGTACATATAAATTTGTACGTCATAGTACCTTTTGTGAAGTTTGTCAGCGTCAATGAAAACCTTACATAGGAGGCAAAAAACAGAAATTGATATTAAAATTCAAACTGAGGGGTACGCTGAAATTACAATAATCTGATAAATGAAAGTCATTACAAGCGAGGCGCTGCGAACTACAGTTGGAACCGCAAAAACCGAAGTAGTTCTATCCGCTGGCTAAAGCTCAAGTTACTTATGACTAAATACACTTGGCTGTCCAAATTAAGCGTACTAAGAAAATACGGCTAATAGGGAATACTAGAATTGAAGGAGACTTGGCGTATAGCGTGGGGATCGGCAGGATAGAGAAGACAGGGTGGGTTGTGAAATCGCATTTACTTGAATAACATCTAGGCAGCCACATGGTAAATACAAGTCTATAGTGATGGATAAGCATGGCGACAGTAAGTAGACACATAAAGTGGGCTATAAAGACTGCCTGCAACAGGGGGATACAGTAAGGGAAATGACTGATGTCGGTGGAATTTACATGGACCGTGGAGGAGAGACATTCACCCTTTCCACGCTTTTAGTGCATTTTATCCGCCTCCCTCATTAGAACATCGGTGTCTTTGCCATCACCGCCATGCTCAACCACGACAGGAATGTTATGGCCAGTGTTGTCGGCACCGTCATCCTCTGAGGGCGGTTTGAGCCAATCAACTAGGCTGAAGGTGAAAGAATAACAGCCGAATTGAAGCACAGAGCCGTGATGCAGAATCGCCGAGCCCTCCCAGCCGGCGCCGGTAGCGTCCTTTTCCTGACCAATGCAGGAGTGATTGTAGTCCTAAACAGCACACAGAAATTGTGACTTGCGAGCCTCCACACACAGGGAGGATTCAACCATTAGTAATGCTACACAAGTCTACTTGACTCGAGTACAGGGCATTCAATGCAGTTCTTCGAGTTTA